GTTATAGGAACATTTATTGGCCACGTGGCAGGTAAGGTACGACCGTGGGGCTTTTTCTCCTGCCGCGTGAGATGGGTAATTTCAGTACGGAATTTGAGGTGCTGTTTTCATTATCGGTCCTCTGTTCTCCCGCACTGAGGTAATAGACAATTTTGATATGGTAAGCTGTGCCTCTGATTTCCCGCACTGACGTGATAGACAATTTCAACAGGGTAAAATTGTACATCCCTTCTTCGAATGCCCTTCCCCTCTCATGGTGTAAGATCTCTATGAGCGCTTGGAAGTTGGGAGATGATTTCTTGTTAGAATGGAATGACCCCTCCTTTTTGTGAAGTTAACCACTGATCATGAGGATCGTGGGGGGTATGGAAACGTCGGGATAAACTTGTGAGAGATGACATGATTTCGGAACTGGCCATAACAAAGTTCATATAACCTCCTGCTCTGATTGTCTCTCCCTTTCACTGTGCTGCGAATGCGGACGATGAGGGTTTCGGGACAGGAATTCTGTTTTAACCATGATGAGCAGTTAATCCCCTCGCTTGAGGGCAATCAATGCTGCTCTTCAGATAGAGTGTGCTACTGTGTCGCTTCGGTTGATTACGCACGCATCTTGTGGATTCACATGTAGCATATTGACATGATTTCGGGTGGAAGATGGAACACCTGCGTATAATTGTTGAGGGACGCTGGACCCGATTTCCAGCAGGTGCTGCTCCCCACCAATAGATGGAGCCTCCTCGAGCGTGCTAGTGGTGTCTGCTCCTATCAGCACCCCTAGCATTTACTCGGGTTGTTTGCACGTAAAAAATAAAAAAAATAAAATAAAATAATAATAATAATAATAATAATAATAATAATAATAATAATAATAATAATAATAATAATAATAATAATAATAAAAAATAGAAGTCATGCAGGCATGCCCCGTGCCCATCCCACTAAAAATGAGTAGTCATCTGAATGGGCATCCAAACCGACACGTCAGCACACCGAATAGCTGATGAGCAGCATTGATTGCCCTCAACTGAGGGGATTAACTGCCCATCACAATCTTCTTTGCTTCACATACATGCAAACAGATGGCGATTCACACTGGCGCACAGCGCCCACTCAAAAACTCAGAGATATGGAAATCGAGAACTCAGTTCAGATGCAAACTTGCTTCCACAGGCTATGGCGCATGAGCGCCTGCACATCCAACCCTCGATACTGTTCCCAACACCACTGTTCACACTCACTTAACTCTGGAGCACCCTGAATACCCCACACACGTTCATACACTCACACCCTCTCTCCTATCTACAGCGGCTATGGCCGGTCACCTACTAGCTACGGCTCTGCAGACCACCTCGCACAAGGCACTGTAGCAGCACTTCCGCATGGCTTACGCAGCGAACGAATGAATTGCTGGACGCTGCCTCTTGATTTATACTTCTGTTGGTCGCTGGTCTGCCCCTTTCCTTCCCTTGGTGCAGACAGTCCCACACAGTACTTGCTTGACCGGACTAGGACTGACTGGGACCGGTCCCGCTGACTGCATGGGTTTGCACTGCCAACTCGATGCAGTCACACTGCCTATGTAACGCAGTTGAGCTCACCACTTGCCCACTTGCCTCTGTCTAAACGTGAGCCAACTTCGAAAGGCCACTTCCGGACCTTCCAGAAGTCTGTGGTCTTGGCCTTTCGAACACTGTAGCAGCTACGACCTTGACCTTTCAGGACTGTAGCGGCTACGACCTTGACCTCTCAGAACACCTACAGCTGCGACCCGTACTCATCAGATCTACAGATCGAACCCCTCCACTACACAGACTTACGCCAGACATCAAACCACTACCAAAATACAGATCACGGGTTCAAACACTCGGGTCAACTCGATACTGTACATGGGCAAGGTAAGGTTTGGGGATCGAACTCTAGTGCCTGCATCTGTGACTGCAGAAAGGTGAAAACCGTTTCATGTATCTGGCCAGTATGTGAGGACCGTGAGACATGTCGTTTTTTTTGTTTGCTTTTTGTTGTGAGGGCCTTGTAGCGCCCTGCCAGCCAGGCAGGGCGGATAGGATTCCACGCAAGGCAGCTAAAAAGTACTGTAGCATCCTGTATCGGACCGCAATCACAGCATAAGGGATGCTTTTTTTTTTTTTTTAATCTGCTGTTCGTGGATAGACGAGGGCCCTGACTGAACTGCTACCGAAAGGCAGGTCTGCAATTGAAACTTGGCCCCTGACTAAAGTGCGAAATCAGTGTTTCGAATGCAATTGCAAACTATTTTCGTGACTGCGCCGAAGCTACCCACCCCTTGAAAAAATGGCTGAAAAATGTACTGGTGCCACCAGTACTTCCGAGCCACTTTTGCCCAGGCCTCCAGACGTCCTGCCGCCAAATGAAAACAAACTGGCGTGGGCCTCCTTTTGCTGACACCACCAGACATTTGCTCCGGCTGCTGACCCCAGAAAGTTGGAGCTGCATTCAAGGCGCGTCGAAGGAAAATGGCATTCTAATTGCTATGTTGGCCGCTAGCCTGCTCGAGCCTGCTGTTGCTCAGAATATATACACTAGTAGCACTCTATGTGTCTACATAACACGGACTCTACCTTCAACTTGATTCAAGGCAACTATACTAACTGCCTGAAGTTGTTTCACATATAGTCTATGAGGATCCTACACAGACATATGTTGGTTTCTTGCGGATTACGCTCCTTGCATTTCAGTCAGGTGAATTCATCGCCATGCTCAACAGCGGACCCCGGAGTTTGTTTGTTTGTTTTTTTTTTTTTTTTTTTTTTTTTTTTTTTTTTTTTTTTTGTGTGTGTGTGTGTGTGTGTGTGTGTGTGTGTGTGTGTGCACGTATGCTGTCCTGTGTCACAGTGTGTGTGTATCGAAGGCACTAACTGGGTCCGATACTGTCATAATGAGGGCATGTGATGCTCTCTTCGAGGGCTAAAAACAGAAATGTCCGAACCAACAGTCGCTTTTCCATTTACGGCTTTGCTAATAATGAAAAAAAGAAACAGATCTTTTGTGAGCAATGTGAGGGCGGGTGGTGCAAAATAGGACGTATATTCGGGCAGATAGGAACGTTTATTTGGGCATATAGGAACAGGGTGGAAAACTCTACTAATAATAAGCGATCATTTGTGAAATACCCGTACAAGTTTAGATATATGTCAGAATGCCCCTAAGAAATGTGGATAGAGTGCCTTTTTTTTTTTTTTTTTTTTTTTTTTTTAGAGCTCCTAATTCTGTGTTTCGCACAAGTCAGGCCCGTATGCAAATTTGCAATCAGGACCGAATTGCTGGGGCCTGGGGCTGCACCCTGTGTCACCCGGTTTGCCCTCCATACTGGGCGGGCATCTTTGTGCAATACCCAGGCCCATACTCGCGGCAGTTTGCCTCCGTGATTCAAACTTTCAAAGTTGTTCAAGTATCTGCCGTTGCGTCACGCTGTGTTCGGCCGCTTTGCCGTGGTAAGCTTTTGCCCGAAGTGCAATTTCAAACTGATTTTGTGAGGAAGGGAGTTTTGGATAGTAGGCAGTTTCAGTTTCGACCCCCCGCTCTCATATTTTTCCAAGCCTTTTCAGATTTTTTCTGAATTTTACCCTATCTCATGAGGAAAGTCTTGAGAATGCCTCAGGATTCTGGGCACCTCTTGCAACTCATTTTAGGTTTTTTTAATGCTGTTATATTCATGGATCTGCGGTTTTTCGATGCCAGAACGACGCTGGCCGGAGCTGGGGGGTTGCCCTGTAACCTGGTGATAGCAGGAGCATGAGGCCTGGTAGAGCCCAAGGCATCCCCAGATCTCTACCAGGCCTCATGCTCCTGCTATCACCAGTTTACAGGGCAACCCCCCAGCTCCGGCCAAGTTTGAACCGCCATACAATCCAGCAGGTGCCGATCCCCACCAATAGATGGAGCACCCCAACAGGTAAGCCCTCAATTCAGACGGTTCTCTTACCACCGCCAGGATAGAGGGATATTCCAAGGGCCATTCTCAAAAAAAAAAAAAAAAAAGGGCAGAAAAGACAAAACTGACCTACGTATTGACCAGAGGGCCAGAACCAATATCTGAGGGTACTTAGCTTCTGTTTTCATCGGTCTATCTGAGGGGGCACCTGGCTTGGATGTTGGGTGACCGTGCGGTCTTTGAGCTCTCTACCTGGGTTTTAGTTTGTTTGCTGCCTTTTCCCGCTCAGTTGGCTTTGAGGCTCAAGGTCTATCTGAGGGTACTTAGCTTCTGTTTTCATCGGTCGGTTCTAGCCTATGTTTTATTTTTTGGGGCAGCCCCTGGTAGGGGGCCGATAAGAGCCTCTTGAATCATAATGGATCTGGACACATTCTGGCCTTGATGCTTCGGCCACGATTTTGGCTAGGCATAGTTGGGCATTTGGATCTAGATTTTTTGGGTTGGCGCGGTTGTTCCGCTCGGCAATCCCGGTGTCATTGTCGTTTGTTTCGGCGTAAAGTGCGCGTYGTGTRGTGTCTGTCCRTCTTGTTAAATAGGATTAGTGATAYGTCATCAGGCACTCGTTGCGTGACGCCAGACCCCTGACGATTCCGGAACCGGCTCCGGATGAAACGCGTAGGGTCGCTGCCGGTTTCTGCTCAGCTATGGTTACCAAGCTACGGGCGTGTCGCCCACATTCGGACTGAGCTGGATGGGTCGGATTGTTCATGTTTTATCTTAATGACCTATCATGTCGCGTTCGGGAGACTTGACGTGTCAGTTCCTATTTTCTTTTCTTCCTCTCCTCTCTTCTTCTTCCTCTCTCTCTCCCTTCTTCTGATTGATGTCGGTGTTGTCAAGGGTCTCTCTGTTGCGTCATGTCTGAGTAGGTAGGCCTTTGGCCGACACTGGATCCTGATCGACTTATGACACGTGTGATGTTGTGAATATCTCACCATCATCCTAACGCTGTAACCGCCGTAGCAATAGCACTACGTGTGTGTGACTCGTTTGTATGGTCATTAAGTTCTCGATTGGTTCTTTCCGGTGTTTTTGGTTCGTCTATTTTATTACTTCTGAAGTGTGGGAGTGTTTACGATGGCGGGTGTACCACTTGCTAGGGATGGCTGTTTCCACTGCGGCGCTTGGAATCATTGGGTTCGAGATTGCCCGCATCGTCAGGCGGGTCCGAGGCCTCCGGCTACGGGGGCAAATGCCATTCCGACTGGCCCACCGCTCTCAGCACTCCCTGCACCTAATGCTGTTCCATCCTCTACAGCTCCGACCTCTACTTCGAGTTTTGCACCATCATCCTCCAACTCCCAGCCGACTCAATCGGGTGGAGTAGGGAATCGAGGCTACCAAAGGCCGAACTGGTGGACCAGGAACCAGGAACGGCTGGATGCGGTTTACAATAAGTACGTTGAAGACTCGGCGAAGGAAGCTCGGAGGAAGGAGGAAGAGGAGAAAGCGAGGATCAAAAGAGAGGAGGAGGAAAAACAGTTGAGATGGAAGAAGGGGCGGGAGCTATTCGAAGCTGAGATGGGGGAAAGATTGGATAAAAGATTCGAGGCGCTTGGGTTGACCACGAAGGCGAAACCTGCTGGTGTGGCAAGTGTCAGTGGGGAGAAGAACGAGGAATATGATAGACTACGAAAAGAGAACGACGAGCTCAAGAGGAAGCTGAATGATCTGATGGGACGGTCGGGCGATGAGAAGGTTGTTTATCTTCAGAAAGACATTATGGAGCTTCGTAAGTTGGTAACGGATAAGCAGGTGGATGATGACGCGGTCTGTGCTCTGAAGGAAGAGATCCGGGAGTTGAAACAGTCGGCCTACGTAAAAACTAACTTTGAACGAGAGATTGCTGGGTTAAAATGCGAGATCAATTCGTTACGAGAGCAAAATGAGCGGGTTATCGGTGAAGCCAAGCTTCGGAAGGATGAAGCCTTGAGGCCGGGCAACAAGCGTGGGAGTGTGGCTGTCAGCACTCCAGAATGTTCTGGACGAGGATCGCCGAAACCACGTTGGACGTATAACATATGGGACGCGGACAAGTGGAAGGAAGATTATCGCAATTTACGGAGTCTGCATCGGCTGGCTAATATTGAGGCTGAAGCTCTAAAGAAAAAGAGGGCGGAAGCGGAGATGAAGACAATGGAGGCGGAGAAGCAGGTCAAGCAACTTGAAGAGGAGATGAGCAAACTGACGGCAAGCGGGAGCAAATCCGTTGAGGGAGGATGTACTAATTTGAAAGATCGATTGGAAGAGGTGGCTGTGCGATCAGCTCGTAAAGGGCTCAAGGCTACTCCGCGCAGAGATGCTGTCAAATCGCCCGTGGATAAGACATCAACGGAGATCAACAATCGCGCCGACTTTGTGGAACATCAGAGGAAGCAACTTCGATTGTTGCGTAAGGCGGGACTGGAACCGATATGCAAGGAACACAATGTGAGGCTCGGTAAGTTCGAGGATACCGTGTGTGAACTGGCGGAGGCTATGGCCAACAAGGCATTCCCGGAGGGTAAGAACAAAGGTTTTGTACATGAGGTAAGCGATGACACCGCAACGGGGTGTAATTCAAAGGATGATGGTGAGGAGCAGTCTGCGGAATTATAGGGTGTTGTCCTGAATGTGACGAGTCTCTGGCGATTGGCGAATGAGTGTAGAGTTAAGCGTTCCGGATATGGTGCTTTAGCTTCATCTCTTGTCTCTTCCGGGTCCTCAACTTCCGCTGCTGCTCTGTCTCGCATCTCCTCTGACGTCTTGAATTCTGGTGATGATTCTGAGACTTCCTTTTTCCTTCGTGACCGCTGCTTCAATGCGTTCTTTCGATTAGTAGTGATCGGATTAATTCTAAGGGATCAGATTCCATGGGCAAGTAAATTAAAAGAGTTTACGACGAACTTGACGACTGAGGGCGTTGATTTGGAAGAATGTAGGGGACCATTGATTTATGTTCTGTTATCCCCTTAGTCTCGCCACATGTATGTTGGATCTACGGTACGATCCCTCCCTACTCGATGGAATGAGCATCTGTACCGGGCCTTGAATCTTACGGTGATCGAGGGAGGTAAGCGCAACCACAAGCTATACTCATGGCTTAGACGCTGCAATGTCAGTCAATATGTTGCGATCCCACTCTTCTTTTGTGATGCTAAGGATGTGCCTGGAGAAATATGTTGTTGGTCAACTGAGCCCGTATTTGAACTGTCGCGACAAGAAGAGAAAATGCAGGAGGCGCAGGTTAGGTAAGAAGGAAAGACTTAAGATGAAAAGGAGGGAGGGTCGTCACTGTGAAGTTTCTATCGTTCGGCCTCATTTGACTTTCCACTCTACGACTGGGGTGGTTTCTTCATCGCTTTCTTCTATTCTGGATTATTGTCTGGAATTAAAAATCTCTGTTGTTGGTATTGCTTGTACCGGAGGAACATCCTTCGCGGAAAACTGGAAAACGATTAAACGTCGATATGGTTCTTCTCTGATCCGTGTAGGAGATCATGTTGAAATATTGAAGAAAGGTAAGGGTATGTTCGTGCTTGGGTGTTTTCTCACGATCCTGACGATTGTACCATTCATGTCTCCTTCTCTCATTCTAAATCCCACCCTGGCTGGCTTTCTGTCCAACCCCTGCTCTCGTAAGGATCTTAGAACCTGGGATTTCTCTGTCTTGGTGCAAACCTTCTCTGCGATTCAGAGTTTTTCCTTAAAAAGGAGTCGTTATCAGTTACGGGTTATTTTGTCCGGTGTGATCAAGAGAAGATTTGGGTTTAATGTTAGGAAACGGTTGACCGTGAGGGTCACGTACGACCATGGCTTGAGCAAACCAGGAATTCGGTCTGTTTGTGCTAAGGCCATAATGGGCTCCAGTGTGGACATGGAATGGAGAAAGATGGTTGTGAGACGGATGAGAATCATTTGGACTAAGAATAAGAGTGTCGGTGACTGGATCTTTAATTTCCGATCTGCTGCCAAGGAAAGAAGGAGAGGTTGTATTTGCTCCACGCTTGATCATGGTTTGCCTCGGGTAGAGGGGCACGTTTGCTTTCGAATCGATGATTGGGAAGAGGCTCCTGATTGGTTGAGGAATAACCGGAATATTGTTCGTCCCGCCAGGACTGATGTGATTGGTAGACTGAGGAAGCAAATTAATGCTTCGTTTTCTGAGATGGATTTCGATGTTCCTCCGGTTATTCGACATGATCTAGTCGGATGCTGGGCTGACATAAAGGTTACCCACACTTAGTGTACTTAGGAGAATGTGAGATCATGGTCGGAGAGTTTGGAGGGGCTAGTAAGAGTTCCTATTGATCATAATCCAGGAGACACTCTGGTCTGTTGCCCGACGAGGTATAAGGCTGGTATGGACAAACTTTTCTACTGTAACAAAGGACTGATTGAGGTGAACATGGAGGAAGGTTTGTTACTTTCGTCGGCCTCACAAACGTACACGCAGCTTGGGTTGTATGAATTGGCAAAGTGGGACAAGAAAGGGAACATTGGCAATGCGTATGTTATTCCGAACTTCGCGTTTTCCAATATTCAACAGCGGCCGACACTTTTTCCAACATCCAAAAGTGGCCTGCACACCACCCAACACCCATTGTCCACTGTGCATTGTCGCGCCTGCCGTTGGCCAGCGTCCATTGTCGCGCGTGCGGTTGCCCTGTGCCTTGCTCAACACCGCCCTGCGCCCAGTGTCCCTTGCCCAACACCGCCCACCGCCCAGCGTCCCTTGCTCGACACCCAGCATTCGGCAGCCTCCCTATACATGTGAGCTCTCTCTCTCTCTCTCTCTCTCTCTCTCTCTCTCTCTCTC